AGAGAGAGAGAGAGAGAGAGAGAGGATTCATCAGAGACAGAGTGGGGTGCAGAACAGGCAGATCTACTGAAATACACTGCTTGAGGGAGCAGGTCCACTGGGCCATGTGGGTCATCTCCCTGGCGGGGTCAAACTCATGCTGCAATGGCTGCTGACAGGTCATAGTGCTGAGATGTAACCCCTTGTGCCACCAGAGAGTGCCCCTAGCACACACTTTTTGAGTGAATGAATTTAAGTCTGAAATTCATGTTTATCATTTAATTGTCGTTATAAATTTATGAGGTAAGACTTCCTATTCCTATTTTACAGGTGAGGAAACTGAGGTTTCTGGGGAGAGATTAAGAAACCAGGACAAGATCAGGTAGCTAATGTGGGTGTGCCTGGGATGAAATGCAGATCTGGGTGCTTAAACCTGGGCTCTTAACCATTACATTCCTCTGCTGCCTCTTCACACATATGGAAGTTGAGAGGTGTTCTGGAAATCTCGCAGCTACAAGTCAGAGACCAGGCTCACCTCCTGGTTGGGCTACTAATTAACTGCCTGACTTGTGACCTTGGGCAGGTGAGTCATTTAGCCTCAGAGTCACCATGTCTTGACTTGCAAGATGGAGCTAATATATGTGTCCTGCTGACGTTGCAGATTTGTTTGGCGAGGGTCTCATGAAATACTGTATACAATGGCCAAATAACCTACAGATGGGAAGTAGACTCCTGCAGGGATACTTCTGTATTGTCTGCCTTCTTTCTCAGAATTTGCAGGGTGCAGAGATTTAGAGCTATGTGAAATGTTTTCTTAAAATGGAAGCTAGTGCTCTTTACTGAAATCTGACCTACATAGATAGGTCACTCATAATAATGAATGCCATTGAGAAGAGCTGCTTTATGGAATCAGAATTAGAGTCCTTTCCTTTTCAATAAAAATTTAAGTTTGGGACCTTCCTGGTGGAGCAAAGGGTTAAGTCTCAGCCACTCAGAAACAATCTGCAGCTACTTCAGTACACATTCAACCCCAGGCCAGGGAGGTGACCCATATGGCACATCAGACCTCTCCTGTCTCCCACTGCTCCCCTCTGCAGTGTATGTACTTCCTCTATCTACCTGCTTTGCTCCCCACTCTATCTCTGATGAATCCTCTCACCCTTTGTACCTCTAGCCTGCATCCTAATTCACCTCTGGCCTGCATCCTAATTCTTGTATGAGTAGGTAAGTAAATCTTTAATAAAATAAAATAAAGTTTAAGTTTACTGTTAGGTATTTCATTACTAATGGTTGCTTGGTGGTATTCTGGAGATCTGATCATTCTTTTTTAGTCCTCCTCTAATCTCAGAAATGGATTTCTAGATGGGGGGAAAAAACACAGAGGATCCGTCATGTTGGAAGGAAGACCTTTTTGTCTTAACTTTCTGAGATATGCTATGAAGGTTTCACTCCAACATCTTTGGTCATAGCATATTCAGAAAAATCTAAACTATTCTTTATTATTACCAGTTTTTTATTGTTGGGACTGAAATAGGGTGACTTTTGATGTCTTTGAATATGCTAGCAGGATATCTCCTGGGTTCTGTTTGCTGCCACTCTGTGGTTCTCGAGTGATTTAATTTTCTCTATTCTTAAGTAATTAGGGAGACTTGCCAATGCCATTGGAGTAGATCATAATGCCTCTCTGTACTTCACCAAAGGCGTGCTAGAGGTATGGTTTCTGGAGAGGAAAAGCATTCTGTGGTCTCCAAAGAGCATGATGGGTCCCCTGCCCTGCAAAAGTTCTACTCTTAATAAAACCCTCCCCTCCCCCATCCCC